GACCGACAAATGAAACTTTGCAAATGCAAAGTTTCATTTGTCGGTCATGCAAACCATGCAAACATCCTAAGGTAAGCGAAGGCACAGCGGAACCAGCACATCCCCAAAACAACAGCAAAGCAGACAACATATGTGACAGGTTCTGAGCGAAAAGGATTCAGCGCATTCTGTTGTTTTTCTTCGCACCGGCTCTCTTTTTTCAGGGTATTGCATTTGCCAGATTAAATTTGCCCTTCAGTTTTTGTCCGGTTGCTGCCGACATCCTGCCGCGTTTTGAGTGCTGTTGGGGATGCCGCTGCGGGGAGCCACAGCAGAAGCTGGACCCCGATCGATGCGGGTGTGTGCTCAGTCCGACGCGGCCCGTGTGGTCCGTGAGTCGCCCGCGTCAGTCCGGGCACGTGGCGCGGCCGCGGACCCGGACTGCGAGCCGGGAAGGCATTGAAATAAGAAAGACCAGACTGACTGACCGAGATGCGGGCCATCTCAGTCAGTCGTGGAACTTTATGTACCTGATTTCAAACGATACCTTTTTCCCAAACATACAAGCTGTATCGATCCATGACGGGCAAGCCCGTCAGTTTGGCTGATTACAGTTATGAACATTACTAATCTGCGACATAGTCTAACGTGGTCTTTTAAATCACGTCAATAATATGTCAAATCAAGCTGGTGGGTGGACGGGGAAATATAAGCCAATGCCAAATTTTAGGTAGCTGCTTGCAGTCCGCCGCAATGCGCAGATGGCGCCAATGTTATCGCTTAACATGTCACCACCCGGTGCCCCACCTGTGGGCGAGGGATTGATAGACGGTGAATTCCAGTAATCTCGGGTTCGAATCCTCTACAAAACAACAGTCTGCTCTTCCCGACAGTCTGCAATGTCAGCTGGTCAGAAATAGGCAGCCTCGCGCCGTTCGGCCGTGGTGTACTCGCCATTCACCAAAATTCCTCTGCGATCCTGTCTACCAAAAGCTTGGAGAATGAAATGCCTGTTAAACTGGACTGGCAATAACCGGGTGACGGAACAAGCAAAAAGCTTTGCCACACTATTTACTCTGAGTCCAGTATGATCAGAGGCGCAGCCAAGATTCGCGACGGGAGTGGGGGTGAGAGGTAGAGGCTAGTGGGGTGGAGTAGAGGCTAGCATGGTTTGCAGTGGGAACCAGAATACTCTTGAGAGGGTGGGGAGAGTGAATCTCAGCGCCGTTCACAGCTCCTACCCTAACACGAACTAGAACGTCACTTACGACACTAAATCGCAGCTGTTCGGTGTGGAATGATACTGCCCAAAGTTGTTCATGGCATGTGAGGCAAAACGATCTTCCCGCTCACCAGATTGCGACAATCATATTCAGTTGTCTCGTGGTAAAAACATGCGCTCAATCTTGGCAAGGAGGAAGAGAGAACTAGGGCATCACAAGCCCTTCCCCTAATCGCTGGCTGCGTCTCTGCGTGCCGCCTATACACAGGATTGAGAATACATATCTTAAGAAAATAGATCATCCATTGGACCACCAAAATTACGCCTGACCAAACGAAAAAAACGGTGTATTAATGCATCTAATATCAGCAAAAACACCCCTACTAGGTCATGGGTAAAAGAGCAATTTAATCCATGGACACCCACCAAATCTTAGCGTACGGAAAAAGCCATCAGCCATCGGAAAACAGCGAACAAAATTGATTGCCCACGCCCTCCAAGCGAGCCACGCAAATCATCGGGAGAAACACCCGTCCCCAACCCCACCCTGCCACTGGTGACGCCCCTAGACAGTCTACGAACAGGATCCTTGAAATGTCTGAGTTACTTGCCTGCAGTACTGACCAAATATTGAATGCTCCGAGTCCAGCGTAGATATACAATGCTTTATAACGTGTTTCAATATATTTTGAAGGCGGCTGAGACCGCTGCAGCAGAAAATTGCATCTGACGAAGGAATGCCCCGCGGGTCCTGTTAGTTGAATTAAGGTTAAATGGCGCAATTTAGGAAAGCCTTTCACGGTTTCCACACAGTTAGTTTGGCTAGCTGATGAGCCCTTGAAACTGGAACAGGCTTTGGTGATTCTTCGAAGCTGGAATAGGCTGACCGCATCAAATGAAGCAATTGTTTGCCCTTTATTTGTGATAAAATCGTTTTTCGGAATTTGATGAGGTTGCAGACATTTAAAAAAAACTTCGAAAAAGCTTCTATCGTCAATTTTCTTAAGACCCAACTTGTAGCCACGTTTTTGGCTAGAAATTTTTATCAAACATTTGAAAATGTGCTTGCAAAACCTGAATTTTGGTAAAATCCCGATTTGCTGGCCATAAGCAAGATTACGCCTATGATGGCAGATGTAATGCCAGATTCTTTCCTGCCCAACTTTTCGAACCATTTTAGAACATTCGTTGGCATGTCTGACCAGACGCGACAAAACTAACTCTTCCGCTTTTGCTGCGTCCCTGTGCATAGGCACGCAATGGTTACAGAGCTTGCGTACCTAAACCCTATCCACGATGAATGGTCCTTCAATTAGATAATCCTCAAAGCCTGCATGCCTTCACACAGCACCGATGTAGACAATACCGGTGTTGCCAGCATGCAACATCTTGAGCCGATCCACACGCTGATAGTCAGGCATGGTATTTTCCCAGAAGTTAGGTTCAACTAAAGCATGGGGCTGAAAAAATGGCTATTGAGTGTCTCGCTTCATATCATCAAGCTATTTTCAGTTGGAGACATGTTGACGTAGCTATTGCATTTCAATGAATTGCACGAGAGCATTAACACATCTCTGTCGGACGCATTACATATTTTTTCAAAGCATATCTCATGAAGATGTTAAAAAAACGCTCTTTAAAAGCCTGTTCAGCAGATTACCCTCCGTGAAACCGGCTAGAGGTATTTTTTCTCGATAGGCGTAAAACTGGGCCCAATCCTCTCCTATATCTCTCCTCCAATCCTATATATATATATATATATATATATATATATATATATATATATATATATGTGTGTGTGTGTGTGTGTGTGTGTGTGGCTTAAACATACGTTTGGAATCTAGTCTCTTTGAGGAACAAAAGCTATTTGTCACATTTGAGTAAAAGTCACCGACATGACCGCAAGAAAAAGCTCGTAGATAAGTAGGCATCTAGGTAAATACCTCGACCTCTGCATCATGTGCAGCAATATGAGCCCAGGAAGTCCAATTACGTGCTCAAAACCGCATAGAAGCTCTTAAAGGTATAGTTAGAGGTAAGCAAGTTCAGAAGTTAGAAATTCTTAGAGGTTTGCGAGACCCTCGTAGGGGAAGAGATAAGGCAATTGGGAATCCAAAAGGTGAGAGGGAATGTGACTTCCCAGTATGAGGCACGACAAATTACGGCATATCGTGATGGTGAAAGACGACGCTATGTGGTAGCCATGTGTGCAAACTAGATACGCGCTTCACGGACGATAGGAATTCATCATTTTCTTTTAATTTTAATTTGGTTAAGAATATTCTAGTTCACCGTGGACTTAAAGAGCTTCTTGGAACATCGGTCAAACTTGCTTATCAAAGCGACGGCAAATTTGAATTTGTGGCTCTCTGAACCGCCAAGCATTGTGTGGTGGGAGGATATAGCTACTACTAATGATATGTGCACCGTACTGATGATTGTCAAAGACCATGCTGAGCAGAAACCACGATATGGACTCCTTTCATCGCCGTACATTCCCCGCTAGTTCTCAGTACTGTTCAACGTACGTAGTTGTACGGGAGCGGCTCCGTATTTTTTGCGGCAATTTGTCTAGGGTGGTTCGCA